AGTATTACGATGATAATACACGAGTCTGCTTTATTTTGTCGGTTGGTGGGAAAACACACTGAAATTGTCGAGGATACCTTTTCATGACTTAAGCGGATGTGATCCTAGTTTGTGAAATTGTTATGTGTGATTCTCCCACCTGCCTGCATAGGCCTATTTAGGCTTAGGCATACCCTCTGTCGGCAAAAGTATAGGCATATATTAACGTAATTATTATAAAAAGAATCTTTCAATTTTTATTAAAGAGCAGAATAAGAATACGACTGTCTTTGGTTACGTACACGTATGCCTCTCTGTGTGACGATGAACAACGTGTCCATCAACGTGACACTCCATAAAACTGTACATTATAACGAAACTAACGAACTGCCCTGGATTCAAATATTCGAAATTACTGACAGCTTAAGAACATAATCCCCGCTGATCCGTCACATATTCCGATCGTCACGCGCGCGAGATTGAAAGTGGACGAGGATTGTTGCGCATGCGTTGATACAGGTCGTAATGAAAGAGGACGTCGTTAGGGATTTATACGTGGCTGTAATTGCAGAGAAGTCAACATCGGTCAGAATGAGTCATCATAAGACATTTTTTGGATGTGTTTTTTTTTTGGGGGGGGGGAGGTTTGGTATGTTTTCAATTTTCTATTGTTTTTTTTTTGGGGGGGGGGGAGGTTTGGTATGTTTTCAATTTTCTATGTAAAAAATCATTTTACAAGCCGGTATCACGATTACGATTATCGAGTGAACATGATAGAAATGCTCGACGAAACTGGTTCCAGTGGTTTAATAGTTTCTTCAGATTATGAAATAATTGTTCAATAGAAGACAGGAGGTAAGAAGGCCTGCTCGAGTAGTTCGATAGGCCTACTATGAAATACTTATTACCCGGAACATATAAAATTATATATAAACGTTTTCCTCGACATCATGACCGCTTGAATTTGCGGGGATCCCCCTCGAAACCGACCATTGACCCCACATGGACCCGTGATTGAACCGTGAGAGCAGCAGCGGCTCGTATTATCATGTGTAAACGCTCTTTTTGTCGGGATCATAGGCTTATAAAAGAAAAACGGCTTTAAGAGATTACGATACTGAATTGTCTTGCAGCTGGTTTATATTTGCCTGCTGAGCCTCATTGCACTTCCAATTTTTCATTGTCAGCGCGTTACCAGGCACAGATCCAGTAAGGGCATGGGGGAAACGTTCCCCTTCTCCCGTTTTGCCACTAAATTTTACAATGCCAGTGCATATCAATATTATTGAAATAAGCGCTACTCACTTAGTATTCTGAAAATGTGCCTAATATCAAGGGCGACTGTTACATTAGTCTATTTATTCCGTCCTGTATGTGTTGATGCCATCCTAATTACGTTCTCTGTAGATTCAATATTAATATTGTATGATCATTACCCGAATTGTTTATGGAGTGATGTATTTCTTTGCTAATATAGGCCTACGTCAGAGCACAGACAATTTATCGACCCAAGTAAATTATTCACCATTTTGTTGGATGGGATCTGATCGTTGAGCCGGGAATTACAGGTGATTCCTGATTGAGCGATCATTAACCACACCTCTTCCACATCTCTTCATGTGTACAATGTTTTCACATCAAGTTGTTTAGAAAGAAACTCTGCGTGAATGTCATTTGGTAATTGGTACGGTATCCATAGAAACAAGAAACTAACAGCCAGAGATTAAGTATTTATGATGGCGACGGGTGGTAGTAGAATAATACGAGAGTATTACCGTCAATTAATTCAAACAAATGGAAAATAAAGTAAGAAAGATCGGGGTGCTTTTTAAAATTTGACGCATAAAACTATTTTTCAAAAGCTCAGACTCCAAACTAGTATTTAGAGACAAAAAAATGATTAATATAAATATACAGAAAGTATGATAATGGAAACTCCGAAAAAAAAAAAGGTGATACAAGCGATTCAAGTGAATTATTTTGAGTCACAATGGCTTGTATTACTTTTTTTTCGGAGTTTGTTTCATACTCTTATGTCAAACTTATCGGTGAATCTCATATACTGAGGGAAAAGACAATGTACTAACGAAGGGAAAATCCCCCATCCCCTTACGCTATAGGCCTAGTTATGTGTTATTCTCGTTTTAGCTGTCACCACATATGAAGCCTTGTTTCAATAAAAATCGATACAAGCTATCGTCGACTCCTTTGCCGACGCTGATTTGTCAGTGAACCAGAGAGCGTTCCCTATTGCCTCAGATTGCTGTGAGGACGCTGTGGCGACTGTGTAGCGATTCTATGGAAATCAGGCTTTATTAGCCCTGTCTCTTATACACATCTAGATGTGTATAAGAGACAGGTNNNTCCCCCCCCCCCCGTTTTTCTTCTATTTTTTTTTTATTTCTGCATATCAATGCTATGTGCTACTCACTTATCAATTCTGTTTTGTGCCCCCCCCCCGTTTGGAAAAATCTGGATCCGCCCGTCCCAGCCGTCATTTGCAGGTCTCATTAGAAGCTTTCGCAGACGAGCCTAGATGTAGGTCACATTTCCCATACCGATACAGCATTGTCATAAATTTTGTTAGGCTAATCTAAAGAGAAGTATGAAAAAAAAGTGCCGCCATTCTTTTTGTCTTTATAATTTGTCAGTCGGTTGTAAAGGTATTAACTGTGGCATCGTCTATAAATGTCACTTCAGTCTACGAGGAAGTCATGCTACGATGAGACTTGCTGGATCCTCTGTTCTAATCGATCTGTCAGCGCCTATATTTTTCAATATATGGGATCGTGCACGACCCAAGTGTTATTTAGTGTAATGATATGGGTATTGAGCTTCATAGTTACTGAAGACATGGTGTATGATATTGTTGCTTTATGGTGATGTTGATATTAATG